GCGGCGTGCGGGGGTTGCGTCAGGCTCGGCCGGCTGGCCCGCTGCGGGCCTGGGCCCCTCGCGGCTCCCTCGGCGTTGTCCCGGTGTCTTCGGCGCTCCACCTTCGGGCCGCCTCCTTCCGAGCCGTCCCGGCCGGCCCTACCCCGGTACCCGGCGCGCAGGTTTGTCGGGGGCCCTGGGTTGCGAAGTCGGGGCGGGCGTTGGGGCATTGCTCTCTTCCCGGGGCGTCCGGGAACCCCCCAGGGCAGGCCCGGTGGCCACCGGGACACCCCCCCCCTTAGGTCCGGTGTTGGAGATTCCTCGTGGATTTGCGAGAGGTAGTCCGCTACTCGGTGTTCGCGTCCCGCTCGGTGGTGGATGACGAACTGAAAGGGAAGGAGAGAGAGATACCATCGGAGGATGCGGGGATTGTGGTCTTTCATGCGCTCTAACCAAACCAGGGGCGCATGGTCTACGACTAAGCGAAAAGGGTTGTTAGCCAAATAATATTGTAGGGTGCCCACGGCCCATTTAACCGCGAGGGCTTCCTTCTCCACCGTGGAGTAGTGCACTTCCGCGGGCTGTAACTTCCGGCTTAGGAAGAGCACTGGCTTCTCCACCCCATCCTGCTCCTGCGTAAGGGCGGCCCCCAGCCCTGTGTTGGAGGCGTCCGTATGGAGGGAGAATGGGAGAGAGAAATCGGGGTTCTGTAGAACTGGTTCCCCAGACAGACTGCTCTTCAGATGGTCGTAGGCCTGTACCGCTGATTGTGTCCACCGAATCACGTTGGGCTGTGTTTTTCTCAGACAATCTGTCAGCGGCCCTGCTTTGGTAGCGAAATGCGGGATAAATTTGCTGTAATACCCCACCATCCCTAGGAACCGACGGAGCTGTCGCTTCGTCACGGGCCGCGGGTGTGTTTCGACTGAGGTCACCTTCTCAGGGAGGGGTCGAAGCTGTCCTTTGCCGACCAAGAATCCTAGATACCGGAGTTCTTGGAAGCCCAGGCGACTCTTCCGTGGGTTGGCGTGGAGCCCCGCATCCCGTAGTGCCTGTAGGACGGATCGCACATGCTCCAAGTGGGTAGGCCAGTCGGGGCTGCACACAACGATGTCATCAATATATGCCCGTGCATACCCGGCACATTGTGAGAGCGCCCTGTCCACTAATCGCTGGAATGTGGCCGACGCCCCATGTAGGCCGAAGGGCATCCGGCGGAACTGGAACAAACCCTGGGGAGCGGCAAAGGCCGTCTTCTCCCGATCCTCGGGCTGTACCGGCACCTGCCAGTACCCTTTTGTTAAGTCCAGGGCCGTGAGGTATTTGGCCTGCCCTAATTGGTCTATCAGAATGTCGGCGCGGGGCATTGGGTAGGCGTCAAACGTGGACAGCTTATTTACTTCGCGGTAGTCCACGCAGAACCGGACTGTCCCGTCCGGCTTCGGCACCAACACGACGGGACTACGCCACGCGCTCTGCGACGGCTCAATAACCCCCATGCGTAGCATGTCTTGTACCTCTTGCCCAATGATGTCCCATTGTTTTCGGGGTAGTGGGCGCCACCGAGCCCTAGCGACTTTTCCGGGCTGGGTGACTATACGGTGGGTAGCCAGCTGGGTATAGCCCGGGGTATTGGCGAAAACCCCGGGAACCTGGGCGACCACCTGTCGCATCTGGGCTTGCTGCTCAGGGCTGAGGTCCGCATCCAGCACTGGCGGGGGTACTGGGTCCTCCGTCAGGGCCCACGGAACGGCACCTTCGCGGAGCCCTGCGGGATCGTCTCCCAGGCAGACCTGGTCCGTGGGTGAACGGGGGGTCCACTCCTTCAAGTGGTTGATATGCAGCCTTTTCCGATGCCTCCAATGTGGCCCACACTGGACCTCGTAGGAGAGAGGGCCTAATACCCGGGTGATGGGGTAGGGTCCCTGCCAAGGATCTCCGTGTGTTTGCGCCAGGACCTGGCGAGACACCAGGACCCGCGTTCCCTCGCGGAACGTTCTGGCCTGGGTGTGTCGGTCGTAATATCGCTTCTGGGCCTGTTGGGCCAGCTGCAGGTTGATCCAGGCTTGCGCTTGCACCCACTGCAGTCGTTCCCGCAGCCGCGTCACGTAGTCCACTACTTCTTCCTCAGTTCCGGCCCTAACGGGACGCGCCCATCGATCCTCAACCAGCCCCAAGATCCCCCTGGGGTTACGGCCGTACAGAAGCTCGAAGGGGGTGAACCCGGTAGAGGCCTGTGGGGACTCGCGGATCGCAAACAACACAGGGTCCAATAAAAGGTCCCATGCGGTGGGGCGCTCTCGCGACACCTTCCTCAGCATAGTTTTCAGGGTTTGATTCATCCGTTCCACCAACCCATCGGTCTGGGGGTGGTGGATTGTGGTGAACAACTGGCGGATGTGCAAAACGTCACAGACCTGGCGCATCAACCGGGCCGTGAAGGGGGAGCCGCGGTCTGTCAGGATCTCTCTGGGTAAGCCCACGTGTGCGAATAAGTGCATAAGGGCCCTGGCCACCCCTGCGCTCTTCAGACTGGGGAGGGGGACCGCCTCCGGGTAGCGGGTAGCATAATCCATTATCACCAGGATATAGCGGGCTCCTCTGGGAGTGCGCGGTAGTGGCCCCACGAAATCCATGGCAATTTTTTCAAACGGTTCCCCCGTTACTTTAATGGGTGACAGGGGGGCTTTTGGGGCGGCCCGGGAGGTCATCCGTTGACAGGTGGCGCATGAACGACAGAACCCTCGCACGTCCTTGGCCACAGTGGGCCAAAATAATTGGGCCAGGATCCGGGATATTGTATTTTGGAAACCCTGGTGGCCCGCCCATTGATGGTCATGAGCCCACCCCATGGCCTCCATCTGGTAACCGGCAGGGATCAACAGCTGCTCTATGGGTCCCAACCGTCCCTTGGCCCTCCTGAACCACACGCCCCCACGCTGTACGATGTGAGGCAGCCTATTCCCCCAACGGGAGTCTACCACGACCCCATCCCTTACCGCCACTTGGTCCCGAAGCTTGGCCAGCTCCGTCGCCTGCTCCTGGGCGGCTATGAACGCAGGGTCCCGGATCCAACTTTCATGCAAGTCGTCCGAGGCTTGCTCGACTGTCGAGGTACCCTCTCCAGGGTTGTCGTCAAGGGAGTCGCCGGCCGCCGTCGGATCCGCTTCCCCCGGGCGGACCGGTGTAGCTCTGTCGGTCTGGGTGGTGCTGGCCGTCCCTTCTGCGGCCGCTATATCGTGCTGCCCCGATGGTCCAGCTTGTACTGGATCCTCTTCATGATATCGGCGTATGGCCGTCAGCCTGGAGCGTCGCGCCCCAATAACACCTTACAGGGTAACTGTGCCATCCGGGCCATGGGCACTTGAAAGACCAGCCCCAGGTAGTGAACGGCCACCTGTACTACCGGGCAGCATTCGGAGTGGCCATGGAAGCAGACAATGGTA